TGCTACATCGGTAGAGTTAGGCGTCAATAAAAGCCTTTAAAACCGGTTGGCTTGCATTTGTTGACTCACTGCGGGGTTGCAAATACAAGCACGGGTGAGGTAAGTGTGTGTGGGGCGTAAAACGCATTTGAAACGTTCCAAAGTTCAACTTAGAAAAGTTTTCCTGAGTACTGGGATTTTTTTTTTTTTGGTCTTTTTGGGTTTTTTTTGTTGTTTTGGGATTATTTGTTGGGGGTGTTTTGGAGCCTTTTGGTTTGGGTTTTTTGGGGGCGGTTGGTTTTTTTTTGGGTGGGGGGAGGTTGGGGTTTGATTTTTTAAATTTTTTTAGGGGTTTGGTTTGGGATTTTTTTAATTTATTTTGCTTTTGTAAAAAAATACCCTGCCTCTAAAAGATTCTGAGCCAATCCAAACCCACCATCTCACCCAACCCACTCCACTTCTTTTTTCTTCCTGTTACAACTAACGACAAAATCACCACGATTCATTCGCTCAGGGGAATTGCTGCTGGATCTGGCTGGCTGATGGGCAAAATATTTGAAAGCACGCGCAAAAAGCTTTCTGTGATGCCATGATTGAGCAGCAGCAACATATCAGTGAGAGTCCAGCCTGTCTGAGCAGAAAACTCCTAGGAAAATACAAGCTTTTAAATGCTGGTGTAAGGTTTTACCGAGAAAAAGAGCACTCATCTCCATTTCAATTTCCAGTTGGAGAGTTGGGATGAAGCTGCTCTTTATGGGGTCTTCCATCACGGATGTGCTTTCTGCTTCCAGAGGACGTAGTTGTCGGGTCTGCTGCAGAGCCAGTTCTTCTTTGTGTGGCAGAGGGAGGAGCTGATCCTCTCCTCGTTCAGGTACGCACAGAGGCCGCCCCCGCGCACCTCAAACCTGCAAGGTGGACGCTCTCAGAGAGCAAGAAAAGGAGAAAAAGAAGAAAGCTACCCCCCCAAAAAAATAAAGCAAAGCCGGGATTTCCTCTCTAGGGGTGGTGTTTGGCTGAGGGTATCTAAGAGGGGATTGCTGTGCCACATCCTTGGTCCATCCCAAACCTCCCGTGGAAAGCCAGGGGTTGCTTGGGCCTGGTCCATCTCAGACCCAGCTAAAAAAATCCCACCCAAGGGGGAAGAAGCAGCAATGCAACACCCTCCCCGGGGCCATTTCCAACCACACCAAGAGGCAAACCCTCTCCAGTTGCCAACCCCAAGCCCCCAACATGGCCTGAGGGACTGACCAGTTGTTGAAGACGGTGCCGTTGGTCCACCACCAGTTGTTGTCCTTCTCCTTTCGCAGCCCAAACCAGTGGTTAGCTTTGCCTTTGTAGCGCTTAACAAAGTTCTTTAAAGCAAAGAGACGTCATGTTTCCACCAGCCTTGTCCTCCCCACCTCCTCTTTTCCACCTGTGGTCATCACCCCACCCAGAGACGGGGCTTTCCCCAAGGTCCTGGGTGCAAATTGCACTGGGTGCAATTTGGGGCCAAGTAGGTTTTTGGTCTGGGTTTTTTTTCCCCCCATCTCTTTTTTTTGGGGGGGTCTCTTTTTTGGGTGGTTTGAGGGTTTTTTTCCCATCTTTCCTATCCCAGTGTTAGCGTAAGGGCTCAAGCCCAGTTCTCACCATTTCATCCATGCTGCTTATGAAGGCCAGTGACGCTCCCAGGGCCTCACAGCTTTCCTGACTGGCGGTCCAATTTTTCTCAGCATCAGAAAAATAATAGCATTTCCCTTGGAAACCAAGCCAGGCATCTGGGCACACGTAGGAGAATTCCAGAGGAGGTGAATGGGTTCTCAAAGATACAACTGAAAAAGAAAAAAGCTGAGCAAGGTGCGTGGGCAGCCCTAAAAAGCAGGAAAATGGGATTTATTATTTTTGTTTCCTAGAAGCTGCAGGGTTGGGGAACTGGGGACAACGTCCTTGGGAAAGTGAATGATGTGACCTCGCATGGAGCCAGGATAGAATCATAGAATCATGGAATGTTTTGGGTTGGAAGGGACCCCTTAGAGGTCACCCAGCCCAACCCCCCCTGCAGTGAGCAAGGACATCTCCAACCAGATCAGGCTGCTCACAGCCCCGTCCAACCTGACCTGGAATGTTCCCAGGGATGGGGCCTCCACCCCCTCTCTGGGCAACCCCTGCCAGGGTTTCACCACCCTCACTGGAAAGAGTTTGTTCCTTATCTCCAGTCTAAACCTGCCCTGGTTTAGTTTAAAACCATTATCCCTTGTCCTGTCACAGCTGGCCCTACTAAAAAGACTTTCCCCATCTTTCCTATCGTCCCCCTTTAGGTACTGAAAGGCTGCATTCAGGTCTCCCCGCAGCCTTCTCTTCTCCAGGCTGAACACCCCCAACTCTCTCAGCCTGTCCTCATAGCAGAGGGGCTCCAGCCCTCGGATCATTTTAGTAGCCCTCCTCTGGCCCCACTCCAGCAGGTCCATGTCCTCCTTGTGCTGCCAGTGCCCATTGCCGGCTCGTGTCCAGCTTTTCATCCACCAGCACCCCCAAGTCCCTCTGGGCAGGGCTGCTCTCCATCCCTTCATCCCCCAGCTGGTTACCCCGACCAGGTGCAGGACCTTGCCCTTGGCCTTGTGCAACCTCATGAGGTTCACACAGGCCCACCTCTCCAGCCTGTTCAGGTCTCTTTGGATGACATCCTGTCCTTCTGGCTTGTCAACCACATCACTCAGCTTGATGCTGCATCATGGTTTAGGGAAAAAAAAAAAAAAAAGGGGTGCCATCCCCCACCAAAGCAAGCTTGGTGCTTTGCTTGGGGAGTATCCCTTGAAAATCCTGTGATTTCCCCCCCTCTTCCCCAAAACAGGGGTGCCTGGTCCAGATCCTTCCCATGGGGAATGCCTGGATGGGACTCACCAACCAAGGCAATGATGAGGAGCACCAGCAGCACCACGCACACCAGGATGCAAACCCGTGACGAGCAGAATCTTTCCCAGTCTGACTTCTTGATGTTGGACGCTGGGGGAGGAAAGAGCAGGAGAGTGTGTGGGCTGAGTCCTTCCCCCCACCTCCTCTTTGGTCTTTTTTGTTGGATCCTCAGTCCATCCCAAGCCCCGGCCAGAACAGGGACCTTTTGGGGGCTTGGGAGGATGGGAAGAGCTGACAAAGGCTCAAGGGGTTACCCGCAAGACAGGGAGAGCTGACACGCATCCTTCAAAGGTACCAACATGTGTTTGAGGACCTGGAGATAGATTTAGGCTTTTCAGCCTTCAGAGAATCACAGAATTGTTGAGGTTGGAAAAGCCCTTTAAGCTCACCAAGCCCAACCGTTTCCCTTACCCCTGCCATCCCACCACTAAACCCTGTCCCTAAGCACCGTGTCTGCCCAGCTTTTAAATCCCCCCAGGGATGGGGACTCGACCCCTTTCCTGGGCAGCCCCTTCCAGTGCTTGACTCCCCTTTTGGGGAAGGAATTTTTCCTGAGATCCTCCCCTGGCACAATTTGAGGCCGTTTCCCCTTGTCCTAAAGGTGGCACATGATGAACTTTAGGGTAGATGTACCTGGGTCCATCTCTGTCCCCATCCCAGTGCTCCACTGGAGCAAAATGCTCTTCACTCTTCCCACCCTGCCCTCACCCAGAGCATGATTTATTTCTTTCCCCCCAGCATTACCCCATTTGTACTCTTTCTTTCCACCATTGCAGATGTTCAAGGCTTCCTCCTGGTCTGAAGGTGTTGGCTTTTGGGTTCCTTTCCCCATCGCAGGTAGAGAACTGCCCAAGGTGGCAGCTCACATCCACTGACCTCTGCGGGGATCGCAGCTTGGGCTGTCACATTATCAAGGAAAAGGCAAGAAAGTCTGCAGCTGGCCATGGCTTCTGCATTGGCAAGATCTCATCAAGTTCCAAGATCCCATCAAGCTCCAAGAGCCCATCAAGCTGCTCAGACCTTTTTTTTTTTTTCCCCTCTGCAACACCCCAAGACCTCATGGGCCCCAGATACCACGGGAAACCATGGCAGGGGAGCGCGTTTGCCCTATCCTAAAAATGCATTGAGGGGTAAAGACAGACAGAGAGAAGAAAGACAAAGAAGGATGAGGTGAGAGAAGATGAAAAAGG